AAGAACTTATATGGATGACCAATTAACATGAACTAAGGGGAGGGTGTGGGTGGGAGGAGGCGGTACAGGGTAGAAGGGAATAAAGGCAGGGGGAATCGGACAACTATAATAGCATAATAAATAAAATATGTTTTAAAAAGATGGAAAAAATAAAATATTTCTGTCTTTGAAATAAATGTCTTTAAAGTAACACCAGATATTCTAATTCTATACTTATCCTCAAAGTAGGATAACTACATAAATTATTTGCAACTCTTCTGCCTTGGCTTTTTCCCACCTTCTTTCCTTCCTTCCTTCCTTCCTTCCTTCCTTCCTTCCTTCCTTCCTTCCTTCCTTCTCATAATTTCTTATGAGTATGGACTGAAGTATACTTTCTGTTTTCTGTGAGAGATTTCTGAAAAATTACACAATGTAAATTATATCCTTTTATATTGTCAGTGGGTTTTAATTGTATCCCACATTCTCAGCTTGAATCAACACTAGATTAAAAATATTCAGCAAGTTTTGGCAATTTACAATTCAAAATTGATATATAATGTAGGGAAACGTGGAATGTTTCTAACAGACAGATTTATATTTTACTAAATCATCCCATTTGAGTGCAGAATAAATGTGTTACAAAAGGCTTTCTGAGCACTGATGAAATGAATTGCTACAGAACAAGGAGACAGGATCTATCCTCTAAGGGTTGACATAAAAGGCCATGAAAACTCCAGAAGGCATAAATTAAATTAAATAATAAAGATACAATGTAGTTACATAGTCTCCAATGTTATATCATTGTGGTTTTAGGTAACAGCAACTATGAGGGGGAACCCAAAACAAAACAGAATTTATTTATAAAAATTGTGTATTTATTCTTATCTGTTTAAACTTCAGTCACCTTCAAATACTCTCCATTTGATGCAATACACTTATCGAGACATTTTTCTACTGCTTAAAACAGTTTTTGAACTCATTGAACTCAGTGCTTCTACTCAGTGTTTGTTTGTTTGTTTGTTTCACCTCTTCCCCGTTGGCAAAACATTTTCCTTCCAGGGCTATTTTCATCTGTGGAAACAACAAACAAGTCTCTAAGGGCAAAATTGAATGAATAGGAAAGGTGTGGCTCAGGGGTCATGCTGTTTTGGGTCAAAAATTGTTGAATACTGAGCATTGTGTGGCCAGGTGTGTGCATAAATCCTTCATCATCAAATGGGCAAATGTGTTGAAAGAGTTTTAAAAATAAATTTCACTGAAGCTGAGTGCAGCCTCTTACAACAACACTAGCTGGTACACTGATACAGATGAGTTCCTAAAACAACACTCACTCACCTAACAGGAGAAGCCTATACTACAAGGGGACCACCCTCCAGAAAATAGTCTAGTTTTGGGGGATTCCCCATCATATTTAACTTTTGCTCCCCCCCCCCCAGGAGAAAACAGGTGACCCTTTTATTCAAGGAGACTGAACAACTGTGGCCCTCAAAGTTATATTTTAAATGTAGTCTGGAAAGAAACTTAAGTGCCAAAGTTTACTTTGGTGATAAAAAGATAATGGCATTAGTGTGCATATGGAAGAAGACTCATTGGTGACCTGGAATCTCCTTCAGCTGTATAGCTGTAAAATGGTGAGATCCCTCTTCAGGTAAAGCAGTACTCTGTCTTGTTGACAGCCACCAACTTTGATGAGTAGTGGAGTGGATCTACCCACTGGTCATGCCTGTATCAACCCCAGAAGACCCAGGGTGCTTGGAAGAACTATCCTGAGTCTCTGTAGCCTGGAACCAATGTTTGTGAAAGAGGGTTTTGTATTCGCAGACATAGGCTCAGGGACATAACTGTGGAATTGAAAATCTCTATGTGTCTGCTATATGAAGCACTGTAACCTGTGCCTTGGAAATAAGATAATGTCTGCTTCTGAAGTTTAGGAGAAGTATCTTGAAAGAAATTAAGTGGAGATGAATATATAATATATGGTTTTATCTTTCTATTTTGGACTAAAAGTCTTAACATGAATTTCCTTTATGTGAGTGTATTTTACTCTGTAATAGTTTATGTCAGTACTCTTCTTGTAGAATATGTTAGGCAATCCCAGTCTAAATCATATTCTGTTTCTTCTACAGCATTAGGGATAACAGCTTCAGTAATCATGTTCTATAAAAACTGGGGTGATGTGGACAGAAGTTATGTCCTTTCATCACTATAAGGCTTCAAGTTCAGACACTGACTTGGTTATAGATTATATTTCAGCTTCTGATAACACAAATGATTGGTTCTGATAACATAAAATTAGCATTGTCTTCTAATAAGATTAACATTAAATGTCTTTTGGGCAAATTTTATTTTTCTTATTTGAAAAGCAATCTAAAAGTGGTGCAGATAATTTAGAATTTCCATTATTTAGAAATAACATTGTTGTCAAAATTAGGCAATATTGAATACTTTGTTCTATAACTGAATTTCATTACCAAAAATACAGGGGTGAGAAAAAGTAGGTTTATGGTTGTACACTTGGAAAATAATATAATGTTTAATACATAATGTAAAAATAAACTGTTTCATGTACTCACAACTATAAATCTATTTTTGCCTACCCCTGAATATTATTTATAGTTTAATATGTTCTTAATATAAATTAAACATTACCTTAATCATATGACATAAAGATTTATTTTAAAGAATAAATCTATATCGTCATTGTTTTTGATATTTTTATCTTATTAAGCTATTTTATTGATAGTATTTATTATTATTACACAAGTAATTTTTAAAAATGACTTCTAATATTTTCTATATAGAGTTCATTTAAAATTTAGATTTCCTAAAATATTTAAAATTGGAAGAATAATTCTCCAGTAACTGGCTTATTATTATTGTTTTGTTTTATTTTTATTGTATTTGTTGCATGTTAGGAAAACTACCTAGGACTAATTTCTAAAGCTCATTGCATGATTTTCAAACATTTTAATATCATTTTTTAAAAAAAGATTTTATTCCAATTGTTTGAACTAAATACTATGTCATTCCAACTGTCTCATCATTAATATTTTCTTCATTTACCTTTCCTTATGTTCTTATTTTTGTCCATCTATCGTGCTCCTACATTTTTGGCTATCTTGAGAAGTGGTGGGAAATATAGCCTATGTTTTATTTATAATAGAATAGTATACAATAAATTTACTAAAAGGACAAAATGGTAAGATTCACACATTACTAATGTGATTTATGAGTGGAGTCAGGTTATACTTAGGAAAACTATAACAAAAACAATAGAAAATAGAAAATGGCATATGTACACAGATAAATAAAACTGCTCATCTTGTAAATACTCTAATGGGGAATTAAATTGAACCAGTACTGGAGAAAGCATGTCAATTCCACAGAAGCTATTGAGGGTGGGTTAGTAGAACAAGATTTCTGTGATTCATATGTATTTTCCTTCAACCACTACTTTCTATAATGCAGTGCTTATATATGCAGCTGATTTTCGGCTTTCCAAAATATATTATTCAAACTGTTTTTTTTATGTGAAAATGAAAAGCTGTAAAGCTAGACAGTGTACACTTAAACACAAGGGTCCACATAAAATGTTTTCATAAATTTATAAAGTTAAATTTATATAACAAATAATATGATCTGACAAAAAGCATAATTCCACATAGTATTCAGTAAAGGCTTTAAAATTGATTGATTAAAAATGTTTAGGGATTTGTTCTTTCTGTCTACATCTCCAAACTATCTTCATTTTAGCTGATGGCACCAGTAGTTTTAGAGATTTTCTTAGCTGATTCTTTATCAGAGAAAAACTATTTTGAAGTGATTATAACAATAGAGAGGCATAATTTTGTATACAGCCTTACTGAAATCACATAAATCTTCTCAAATTTTATTTTCTTTTATGTTTAAAAGAGAAATATCTTGCCAGTAAGCCTGACTTTATTGGTGAGTCATTTGATGATTTTCCAACTTTGTCCACCATGTCCATTAATTTCCTGTGACTTCATTAAATTCAGTAAGACAAGGAAACTAAAATTTTAAAAAGAAAGAATAAAATATTTCTTCTTTTTAAAGATTTTATTTATTTATTTTTAGAGAGGGAGGGGAGGGAGACAGAGAGAGAGAAACATCAATGCCGGGTTGCTGGGCGTTATGGCCTGCAACCCAGGCATGTACCCTGGATGGGAACCGAACCTGTGACACTTTCGTTCACAGCCCGAGCTCAATCCACTGAGCTACGCCAGCCAGAGCAAGAATAAAATATTTCAATAAAACAATTTATAAACAAAAATAGGCTTCATTAGGCTGATGTAAGATTGTGCCATACAGAGTTAGCATTATTTGTTTCTTTAGAAAAACAATGAAAAATTATATCTGGTTTTAATTTCTAAAATTCTGAACAATGACTTTGCATAGCATAAGGACATTTATCTAAATTTCATATTCATTTTATTTGTTTTTTAGAGTTTTTTTTGTATAAGTTACAACAAAACATTTTTTTTCTTTCAGGATTTATATTAAATTCTTATAAAAAGTTACTCATTAAGGTATCTGAAAATAAATGTTATATTTCATTTGGGATCCTTACTGAAAATATTTTGACACATATACTTTAATGTTTGAATATTCTATTTCCTGTGTTCTCCTGAGTGTTAAAGCAAATTGAAAACAATATGATTTCAAAGTGAAAAATAAACTGTAGGATATTACTCTCTATGTTCTTGGTAGATAATTATATAACAACAAAGCTTCCTTTTTCTTTTTTATATATGAGTTACTACACAAATGATCTCTTTGCTTCTCCTGAAGTGGTGTCATAACATTCATTAGAGAAGTTTACACATGAAATTTGAAATAATTATGGTAGTAAAAATTATTTTCTTTCATAATTGCTGTCTTATATGCAACGATTTTACTATGTCAGTATATGTTTACTGACAAAAATTGTTTCTCATAAAATTTGGGAAATTTTGTGTCACCTTATCTTTGTTCTTACTTTTTAAATTTATTTATCATTTCAGATTAAAAAAATCAACAGAAATTTCCCTGTAAACCAGCAGGTAAGATGGAGAAATACTTGGAAAGTCAAATTATATATTTATTTAATTGTATTTATTATTAAGGATAATCTTGATTGAATTTAATTTGTATATGGAAATAATTGATATTATCATTAGCTATCTTCAGGAAAATACATAGTTTATTAGATTTCATTCATATTTTGTGATATATCTGTTCATCTAATCACATTAAAAGCAGTTTTACAAACCTCTTATCTAAATAAATTAAGTAAATACTATTCTTACACAAATTGTATTTATTTATATACATTATTAAATATGAATACATGACATAGAGCAATTTATATGACATAGTTTTACTGTATTATCTTTTCAAATAATATACATAAATAATCTAAAAGTTAAAAAGAATTTTAAATTTTTTCTGACTATTTCAAATGAGTATAAATGCATAGAATAAAAATAATGTCTGATTAATCAAGCAACGAATTTAGTTGCCCTATAAGACTAATAATTGATTGTAGAATAAAATAATTATAGAAAAAATAGCTAATTCTCCTTACAACTTTGTTATGCCAAAATTAACTTTTGTGATATTTTCATAAACACACTAAAATTATTAATTTGATATTAAAAAGTAAGTGAAAGCTCAGTGTTTTGTCTTGTTTTATGGGTATATCAAGTTTTCGTGATGGCGGAACTGCAATTGAAAGGCGTAAACTTACTCTTGACAACAACCTCAATTTTCAAGAGTGAAAATTTGTTAACAGAAATCATTCAAATAGAAAGGTGCATCAGCTGTGGGAGAAAGTTGTAATATACATCAGTAGACATGGTTGTTTTATTGTTGACTATATAAATACATAGATCTACCTATTTTGGGAGTCCTGACAGAAATGTAAATAATAAACATTTTTGAAGAATGACTCTAATATCTGTGTTATCACCCTTCCTTGACTTTTTTAACTCAACATGTGAAGAATTAATAATTAGTAAACTTTATAATACTATGAATTTTTCACAACCCTGATAACCCCACAGCTATATTTATTTATAATGAAAACTACATTTAACACTTCCTATATAATTATTTTAGTGACTTGTAATATTTCTTGCCACTTCTGTATTTATTTAGGTTTTGAATAATACTGACTGAAGTAAATAAGAATCTGAAAACAATTTACATATAAAATAAATAATTATAATAAATGTTTACTATTTTAACACAAATATATACTAAGCATAAGTCAGCATCAGTATTCATGGCCTTTTGTTTACCAAACTTTGTGATGTTATCACTGAAATTCAATTTGAAATTTCTTAGAATTTCATAATTTTTAAATTAAAATGAATTCTTTCTGTCATTTTAAATTACAAAAGGAAGAGTTAACAGATTTTTCCCTTACTACTTTCTATCAAGTATATAAAAATTATCAAGAAACATAGTGTGTTCAACATTCATATATATCCATAACCTTCAGAGTGTTATACCAGTGAATTAGGAAAGCAGAATAATAATAAAATATTATTCCTTAATATTGTTCCTTAATAAAATCTGAGCCATATTAAAGAGTAAAAATCTAAAAACACATGTAATTTTATTTCTCATCCAGATTACCATTCAAACAGAACTCTTATCTTGGACTAAACCACATTGTTGCTTTCACCTCAAATTTCTTCCTAACTTAATTTTTCATGTAAACTTATCTGAATCTTATATCACATATATGTGGGTATGTATGCTTATGATGAAATATTATGACATGTTTTTAAGTGTTATACAATGAAACTCAAGCCCCCTGAAAGCTCTAGGTCTCAAAATGGAAAAACAAGATATCACCCAAGATACATTGGAACAGAAATCTCCAACTTACTGCGGTATTTGATTTTGAATTGTGCAACTCATGGGTTATGGAAACCACAACCAGAGAAATTAAAACAAAAAACAAAAAGGACTCTGAAACTGAAGAAATTCACTACTGTCTGGGAGTGGTCAGCACCACAGATTAGCTCTCTAGATACTCCCACAGTCCAGAATATACAAGACATTCAGTAAAACTACGTTCACCAAAGAAGAAATTGTAATCAAGTATTATAAACTATATGAGGAAATAAACCATTGTAAGAAAAAAACATAATGTGAAGATTAAAGAACAATCCAAAATTGTTTTTATCTTATTTTGTTTTATGACTTTTTTCTTATTTTTTAAATTATTATTTATTCTATTATAGTGGTCCCACTTTTTTCCCTTCTGCACCCCTCCACCCAGACCATCCCTCTGTCCCACAGCCAATCCCCTCTCTGTTGTCCATGTCCATGTGTAATTCATACATACTCTTTGACTAGTTCCTTCCCCTTCCTTCCACTGTTACCCCTCCTGCCTCCCATTCAGAGTTGTTGTGTAAAATATATGCTAAGTGAAATGAGCCAGTCAAGAGAAAAACAAATACCATATGATTTCACTCATATTTAGAATCTTTCGAACAAACTGAATTGATAAGCAAAATAGAGACTCAGAGAGAGCAGGATGACAGTTATGTGGGTAGGGGGGAGGGAGGAATTAAGCAAAAAGGAAAAATGACTCAGGAATTTGGACAACAGAGAGGGGGTGGTGGGGAAGTGTTATAAGGAGGCTAAATGGTAATGGAAACATACAGTAAAATAAAAATAAAATAATAAAATAAAATAAAATAAAAATGACCCTCTTATAGATAGCAAAAAAGGAATATAAATGGTAAGTCAAGAAGTGGACATGTTGTCAAAAATGTACACCTCCAAAAGAACCAAATAGAAGTTCAAAAATAAAAAAGTGTTTATTTAAAATGAAAATAGTTTACCTACTAAAAATAGATTAAGATGAAGAAAATACATAATTAGAAGTCTTATATCTGAGAACATCATCAGAATGTGGCAAACTTAAAAGGGGAAAACATATGAAAGCTACCATAAGACATAGAGTTTAGAATGAGAAGCTCCAAAAAATAAATATTGCAGAGAGACTGAGGAAAAGATGATAGCCTCAAGTTCCTATGAAACTTTTAAGAACAGAGCTAACCCTTGAGCATGATGAAAAGAAACAAAGGACAGATGGACAAAACCAAGGGGGAGGGTGGAAGCAAGGGAGGAAGGTGGGTTTGGAGGAGGTGGGAGGAAGGGTGGGGAGAAAATACAAACAACTGTAATTAAACAACAATAAAATAATTTTAAAAAAGAAAAAAAGAGTCTGAAACAACCTAAATATCCAATCAGTTGGGCACTATGCAGACATTAAAAGGGTGAAATGACTCTAAGTGAAATAAGCCAGTCAGAGTAAGACAAATATCATATGATTTCACTCATGTGGAATCTAATTAACAAACTGAAGTAACAAGGAAAATACAGACTCACAGAGAGCAGGATGATAGCTAAGAGTGGGGGAGGGGAGGGGTTAGACGGATTGAGCAAAAAGGAAAGAGGCCTCATAGACATGGGTAACAGTGTGGTGACTTTGGGGGTGGGAGGATAAGAGGACTAAATGGTAATGGAAAATGCAATAAAAAGAAAACAAACAAACAGAAAGAATGAGATGGCTCTCTTGTTTCTGGTATGTAATCTTGGTACTGATATGAAAGATTGTCCAAGAAAGTTTATTAAATGGCAATGTCACACTGGACCGTGTGACTAATTATAACTGTCCATAATAACTATTGATGAAGAGGAATTTGAGTTATTATACATAGCAGGTGGCGATGTAAAATGACACAATCATTTTGAAAGACAGTCTGGCAGTTATTTAAAAATTTAAGTGTACATGTACCATATAATCTAGCCATTCTACTCCTAAGAAATGAAAACATGTCCATAAAAAGATTTGTTCATGAATATTCATAGCAGCTCTCTATGCTAACAGTCCTAAATAAGAAACAACTCAAATTCCATCAATAGGTGAATGGCAAACACACCAAGTCATATTTCCATAATGGTATATTACTTAGTAATAAAAATACAATATAGTATGATGCTTACTAGAGAAAGGGTAGGAAGTAGTAAAGAGGTTAGGGAGTCAAATATACAGTGACAAAAGAAGATTTGACTTTTGGTGGTGGACACAATGCAGTCAATACCCAGATATTGTGTCATAGAATTGTGCACTTAAAACCTATATAATTTTATTATTCAATGTCATCCAATCTCAAAATTACTATGCTTCTATTTTATAATATTCTTGAGAATTTAAACTAAATTATAAAATCAGAATGCAAATCAGCATTTGCCTGGGGAAAGGAAAAGGTAGCAAAAGGAAAAATTATAAAGAAGCATGGGGAATTTTAGATATTGAAGGATATGTTCATTATATTGATTGTAGTGATAGTTTGACAGGCACATGTATATGTCAAAACTTACCAACTTTCCCCTATAACTATGTGTGGTTGACTTATGTCACTATACTTCAGTAAAGTTAAAAATTTTATTATATTACCTGGGAATCAAATAAGTGAGAAATTATATTAAACCAAGACCAATGAGGTTTAGTTGAATCTTAATTCTTGTCTATACTTGAAATTACAATAATGTAACTCCTAATTCAGTCTTTTTTAGGAGTTACCTTCTCATTTTCCTTGTGCATCTGGGACATGCACATCTGCTTTCTCTATTACAGTTTTGATCATGTTGATTTATAAAATGAACATGCTAAAATTATCCTTCACTTGGTACTTTTATTAGAAAGCGGGGGAATGGTGAAAGTTGTCTTGTTAAATTAAGCAATGACTCAGCTCAGTGTGAAACATGTTTTGATAATTCATTTAATGAATTAGAAATTATTTAGACAAGCATATGTATTTTATATCACAATGTATACAAAAATATGTTGTTAATTTATTACATTTTGTTATTTAATTATTACTAACAAAAATTTTTCCATCCTCAATAATACTTCATAATCCCCTTAAAAATGGCATTTACAATCAATATCCTATAATTAGCAAGGGGGCATATTGGAGGACTAATTCATCCTGAAAATGTAATAAGTTTATTTTATAGAGGACACTATGCAAAT